TCTCATGGTTTCGCTCTATAACATTCCCTTGAGAAGTAAGGTCCTTGGTAACCCACTCAGGACCCCTTCCGTCTCCCTTAGAAGACCCTTCCTTTCCCTGATAAATATAGCTTTATTTCCTCAATAAATACTTTCTGCTCTTAACCTCCATTGTTCCCTGAATGCATTCTTTGATTTCAGAGAACACAAACTTGATAGCAGATTGAGAGTTATAATATTTTCCTTATATTGGATTATTTGGTGGTCATATATCATCCCTATATCAATATACCACTAGCTCTAACATTAAATATATTTATACCTCTTTTATATGCTTGCAAAATTCAGGTGAAATGGTAACCTACTTCATACAACTCTAATTTGTTATGGGAAAAATTTTTGATAAGCTGATTTGGGCAAAACCAAACTTTCAGAATAGCAAAGTAGAGCACTGGACAGTTTAAAAGAATCTGGAAAAGTTTCTTAATCTTCCTGTGTTTTACTATTCCCCTGTGCAGTCTGGAAAACAACTGTTTCACATTGAGAAATTCCACAATTCTCAACACCATGAAGTATAAGAAAGAACACTTTATCAAAAACATAAGTTTTGGAGAAATATTTACATTGTAGAGACAAATTTAACACCTGTGCTTTGATTGTAAATCTCGTTTACCTGTTTCAAATGGGATACAAAGCATTCAGTGTCATGGAATAGGAACAAGGACAGGTGGACCTCAGCATCACTGACCCCTCATTGCTGATGTGTTGGAACCTAAGTGCCGGGAGGTACTGCGCGTTGCACTGCATTCAAACAGCCTGGGAGAATCACAAAGGAGCAGGTTTCTCCCGGTCGCCTCAGAGAGTGGAGTTTTCCTTATTTTTGAAGTCTAAAGGGGATCTTAGTGTACTATTTACCTGAGCTAATACCTTTACCTTAGCTAATTCTAACTTGTGTTCTGGATAAGCAAATAATCACTTTACCTGATGTTTGCAATTTGGCAGTGAGTAACTTGAGGGTCAAGATGATACAGGGAGAGTACACATAGGAAAAATACATTTTTAAAAATATAGCTGGTGTGAGAAAGTATAGACTCCACAGTCAATGGTGGATCAATTAGACGGACTTATATTTCTTCAGACATAATTTTTAATGGGCATTGGTCCCTACGTGATACTTTATGTAAAAATCCATTTCAGATGAATAACAATTCTAAATGTGAAAAGTAAAGCCACAGGCTTCTAGCAAAAAATATCAAAGGATGATTCATGACTTTGCAATGAAACTATGGTCATCCAGTCCCAAGGAAAAAAAGGGGACCGTCCACTTGAGCAGAGCACTGGCCTCGGGCATCTAAGCCCGTGTAAGGAGAGCAGGGAGCATTGAATGGCTCTGGCCAGTACTGGTGCCACAGCCAAGGAAGTCTTCTCACAGACAGGCCTGGCCCAGGGCCAGAGAGCCCAGGCAGTGTGGAGGTAGAGTCTACGAAGAAGAGAAGCCCAGGAGCCAGCTCAGAGTCAGGTAAGTAGGAGAGAGGAGAAAGTGAAGTTTATAAGAGCCAAGGGTTTGTGCTGGGTGTAGTGGCGCACGCCTGTAATCCCAGCACTCGGGAGGCTGAGCCAGAAGGATCTCTGTGAGTTTGAGGCCAGCCTGCCAAGATCCTGTCTCCAAAAAAAAAACTAAAGAGGGTTTGCCCAAATAAGTAAATCCATAAGGGAAAATGGAAGTCATGTTTTTCACTGTTATAAAAGAAATTATAAACATGAAAAGAGAAAACTAGAAAGAATACTGTAATGTTGGTTTGGCTTCAGGAATATCATGAATTTATAGTTCTCATTATAGATAGATATAGAAATAAAATGGATGTAAATGTGTGCAAATGTATGTATATGTATATTTATGCACCCACCCACACACACACACCCTTGCCCCTGGCAACAAAGATGGCCTGCAGCTACCTTCCAATAGCAACATATCCCCACACCGTGGGTTCTAAATACCGTTCCCCTCTTAGGACATGAGGCCCTTGGAGAAACGGCTGATCACAGGGCTAGGGCAAGGAAAGTGTAAGAGGAGCCTGGAATATGTGGTTGAGTCAAGGAAACGAAGAGATGCTTCAGTAATGAAGACGACATGTCAAAAGTGTATAGAAGTCAGCTAGGGAAACTGTCACAGGCCAAATTAGGAGAATTTGAACAATGATGTAAACAACGTTTGCAACATAGGATAATCTGTAGAAACCTATTGAATGACACAGGAAACCACACAGATATTTACAAATAAGCAAACAATTTGAAAGTTGGTAAGGAATAAAATATTTACACAGTAATTATTTAATGCAAAGGAAGAAAACATTAGCTTTGCAGAGGAGACGCCTGTAAGATGCCACGTTAGCTGCATCATGAAGTGAATATCATCACTAACAGTACAGATCCCAGTCTTGGGCCACTGACAGTATGCAGCCCCTCTGACAGTCTTGACAAAGATGCATGATCCTAACCTAATCATTAAAAAAACAGCAAAGGTCACAAGAAGGAACATTTTACAAAATAACTGCCTTAAAATCTCCCAAAGTGTCAAAGTCATGAAGTAAAAAAAAAAAAAGACCAAGAAATTCTTCAGACTGAAATAGATTGAAGCAGACTTGCCATGACAGCTAAATGCAATACAAGATCTTGAGCTAGATCTTTTTGCTATTCAAGACATTGTTGGTAGAAATGGTGAAACCTGAATGGGGTCTGAGCATTAGCTAATCTCTGGATTTTGGTGGCTATATTGTGTTCATGTTGGAAAATGTTCCTCAGGCAACACACCAAAATATTCAGGAGCCATGGGATGTCATGTCAGCAGCTCACTCTTAGTAGTTCAGGGGGAAAGAAACATATACTTTTCTTCCTACTTTATTATGAGTTGATAATCATTTCAAGATTTAAAAAAATAAAAATGAAGACCAAAAGGCAATGGAAGAACTGAGAAAGTTCTCAAGCTTATCTGTATGACTGAATTAAATATCTATGAAAATATTAACTAAAAAGAGGATATTATAGAGCAAAACAAATTATACCTTTTATGAAAATTTTTAAAATAGACAAGAACAATACATTATCCATGAATGCACATATAATAGCTATTAAAGCACAAGAATGGGCTGGAAAGTTGTATTCTAAATTTGTGAAATGATTTTTTGTGGGAAGGAATTCAGGAAAGAAAAGCAGGATAAGAGATGGTAGGGAGTCCAACTCTTTGTAATACTTCATTTTTTCTAAATAAATAAAAATCAAGTATGCTAATGGCATAATCACTGTTAATTCTGAAAAATGGAATCAAGGTTAAATCATTCTTTATACTTTTTTGATTGTTGTTAAATTTCTCCCAGAATCTTTCATAAATAAAATACAGTGAGGACTTCACAATATATAAATCGCCTCTATTTGCATTTACTGAGAAAGCTTGTAAAATTCTTCTGCTTTTAGAAGTTTCCCAAGTTCATCAACAAAATTGATACACAAATGAGACAATATGCTGTCCTGCCATCTCTTTATAATATATCCCTTTGCCTGATATTTGAGCTTGAATAGTTGAATGTTTTAAATTAAGGAAGAACCACAGGAAAAATCGGCAACACGATTAGTGGAATCTCTCTGGAATGTGTGGGATCTAGCGTGGCTGCTCACGGTGCCATCTGGGTAACTACTGCGCAGGCCGGAGGCCGGTCCTGCCTGCTTTCACCCTCCCCACCCCTGCTCTCCGGCTGGACGGAAGTAAACTGCTGCCGAGCGAGGCCAAGTCATTAGGTCACTGTTACTAAATTCAGAAGAGAGGTAGTGTCAAGCACAGGTTGTACTAGGTGACAAGGGTTTTAAGTGGCCGTAAGTAATCAGATAAGACTTCTCCACATTTCACAAGTGCAGTGAATGCCTCCTGAGTCTGGGCCCATTTGTTTTGGAGACATATTAATTCACCATGTCCACATTCTCTCACCAAATAACAGGGTCACCACACAGACTCCGGTGCGGCCCATAACAAGGGACCCTTATGAAGCGTGCCATCCATCTCACAGGCAATATTGTGATTTAAAACAGTTTTCCAAATGTACTCATATTACAACTTCGCTGTTTTCATAGATGAGCTTCTTATATGTTAATTACCATAGTTTTCTGACAAATAAATTATGTTTAACTGATACTTTGATTTAGTTTCCAAAACAGAAATGAATTTGATAATCAAAAGGCTATGTTGATGTAACACCTAGAATAAACTGTCCTTACTGAGGAGACACTTTTCTGACTGATGAACTGATTGAAAAGTATCTTAAAATTAAAGTATACCAGCTAAATTTGAATTTGACACCGCAAACACCTGTCATCTGCTTTTCATATTCTATTACCTAGCGTGACTAAGTCATCTCATTTAAATGCACAGGTAATTTCTATGGAATAACAAATACTCATTTGCCACAGGCCTAGATACGGGCAAGCCGACCACTTAAGGGAAGCTCTGGTCTCTAACGCGACATCCCCTCCTTTGTAAGCAGTTTACTCAAGAAAACAGGAGATCAAGGACGAATGAAAGACTTTACTCGAAGGCAGCTTTAACGTGAATATGTTAATGCACTGTTATTGCACGTTTTTCACCGGAATCCAGGATTCTTAACCACGGCAAACAAGCCCTTTGACAGTATTGGTCTTGTGAGCTTCAAATTCCTAAATGCTGAGGTCGGGTTGAAAGAAGAGGAATGAAATAAGGAAGTGATGGGGGCGTTCCCCTTCTCCACAAGGCTCTTGTCCAACAGGCGCTGTCTTAAATGACCAAGAGACGTTACGGGGGGCGCAGGGTGCGGGGGGTGCCCAGGAGGAGCTGTGGCCGGGTTGGGGTGGAGGGACAAGCCTGTCCCAGGCTCAGCTCTGGTGGGAAGGGGTCTCGCACAGCTGAAGCCCGCGGACCTAGACCCTGGGGTGCACCCCGCCCCTCCCCCTCCTCACCACCCCTACCTTCGCGCGCAGAGGGGCGGGGATGAGGCGCGCGGGGGGGGGCACCCGGTTACCAGGCAACGGGATGCCCCAGAGTGAAGCCACTGAGCGGAATGCGTGGGGCAGGACAGTTGATAGACCTTGAGCAGCAGAAATGAGCCCTGGTAAGAGCCGGCCCAGGAGCTGTCCCTCGAGGTGGGGACGCGTGGGAGACGAAGGGCAGCGAGGAGGCCAGGCCCGCGGGGCTCCCCGGGTCGTCGGGGACGCGGACCCTCCGGAGGGGCGGCGCTGCCTGCTCAGTCGCGGAGCACCGGCCGGGGCTGTCAGCCCTGGCGGCGCTGCGTGGCTCCAGCGCGCCCTCGGGTGGCCGTCGAGAGCGTGGCGACCCGAAACTCCGCACCTGGCCTCTCCGCTGTGAGCGGCTCCGCAGGGCTCCTCCCCGCAGAGCCAGAAGCCCGCTCTGTTCTGTTACAGAAAAGCATCCCGAGGAGGAGGATGACGTTGACGCAGTTCTTCTTTCAGCGTCCAAGATCCTAAATTCCTCGGAGGGTGTAAAGGAGAGTGGCGGCAGTGAGACAGGTAAAATCTCCAAGGCCACGGCTCCCACGCAGTGGTGTTTTTCTGCCTTGTGCAATATACAGGCCACTGGCCCATCGCCTGAACCCACCGGCCCGACTGGCACCTCCAGTAACCATTACTGTCGTGCCAACAACAGCCAACAGGACGCGTACTCCTTAGCAGATACTGTTCTAAGCAGTGCATGGACCGCTCGTGTAATCCACAGAACAGTTCCAGGCAATGGTACCACCATTTTACAAAAGAAAAAAAACAGGCCCTGTTGTGTAACCAGCTCTCAAGGCCACACTGATAGCAAGGGACAGGGCCAGCATTCAACAGGGTTCTCTAGGGCACAGATCCTAACCACTTTACTGCTTCTCGGGATGCCCAGTAAGAATTGTTCGTTTTTGAAAAGCCACTAAAACGGTATGTACTGAAAACTACTTTTACAGTAAATATGTGAGGACAGTAGGATAGTGTATGTGAAGGTGTTTGGAAAAACCAGAGAGCTTCAGTTTTGAAGCTCCACGTCCGTGACTAAGATGTGTGTAAATCCTCAGCTAGGGGGATCTGAGGACACTGAAGCAGAAGTCTCATTTCCTTGAGAGAAGCCCAAGGTAGCTGCATACCTGTCAGCGTGGCCTGGTGTACAGTAGGGCACGCCAGGGGGGTGCAGAGCATGTCAGCAGATGTGGCATTTAGACTGATGAGCCAAAGGAGTAGCCCGGTTGCCAGGTGGGTGCATAGCAGTAGTGCAGAGCAGAGAGGGTCGGAGGAAAGGGACGAACTAGAAGAAGCCGGGACTTGAGACAGGATTTCTGGACCCTCACCCATCCAGACCCTTCGCAAACGGCTCAGCAAGGTCCCTGAACGAGGCCAGAGCAGCCACACCTCAGCAGATAAAAGACAGCTGGACACTCAGTCACCACCAGGATGAGAAACATCTCGGTGGGGGCAGCAGATCAGTCCCAGAACCATTGCTTTGCCCTCTCCATTCGTGGGGACCTGCAGGCTTCGCTGCACAGCTGGGAGGGGAAGGGACGAGGGAGGAAGAGTCTTCACAGAGAGCTTAGACATGAAATAGGCCCGCAGTTACTTCTAAACTCAGAGGACTTGAGGGAAAAAGGGATGGAAATGCCTCAATTTGGTAAAGTATGTTTTCTAACATTGAGAGCTAAGGCTCAGGAGAGAAATGCCAGCATTTATAGCAAATGAAGTTACTTACAAAACGGCATACATATGTGTTTGTCAGCTGCAGTCTTTCTTGTTAGAGAGCGGGAGTTACAGGGTCTGGCACAGGACAGGTTCTCTGAAAAGAGCTAGGTGACCCAAGACAGGCGCGGCCAAGGGTGGTAAGGGTGCCCTGCCTACAACTAAAGGCAGTGAGGTGTGCCTTCCTCATGCTGTTCTGCTGTCCTTGACTATTACAAGTGATCCATTCTGAGCACTAACCATCAGAATATTGACTCCATTGGCATAAATAGCTCACATCATTTATTTGTTTGTTTGGGTTTTTTTTTTTTTTTTTTTTTTTTTTTATTTTCTCCAGTACCGGGAACCGAACTCACAACCTTGAGCTTGCCAGGCAGGCGCTTTGCCGCCGAGCTAAATCCCCAGCCCCTGCTCACATTATTTATGTAGGTAAGAGTGGTTAGTTAACATAATTGCATGAGAGGTGCCTTTGAAAATGAGGATGACCGGTGTCCTGTTTCTATCACCCGGTTCAAACCAGGCCTTCGTTCACTAGGTCATGTACCAAACAAATGTTTCTGGCACCTTCTGTATATCCAGTGCTCTTCTAGGTGCTGGGGATCCAAGAATTCTCATATGTAAGATCCGACCCACATGAAGTTACCTTCTGCTGGGAGGAACAGACAGCAAGATGTTACCGTGGGCAAGGTGGGAATAACCAGTGGAGAAAAGTAAAGCAAGGAAAGAGGCTGAGGAGTGTGTAGGGCATCAGAGGTGGGTGGAGAGTGCACAGTTTTCATAGGGTGGGTGATCGGAGAAAACCTCACTCAGCAGGACTCAGCAAGCCACATCTGAACAAAGAGCAGGGCAGGTAGAGGAGGAATCCTTGCAGATTTCCAGAGAAAGAATGATGCAGGCAGAAAGCGGCAGTGCTAGGACGCTGAGGAGGGAGCGTGCCCTGCGTGCCTGAGGAACCCTTCAATTAGTGCAGCAAAAGGAGAGCAGAGAAGGGTGCTAGAAGGGATCTGAGGGAAATCGGGGAAATTCTTCATATATGGGTTTGTGTTTCATTCAGGGAAGCAGTGGACAGTTCTGGGCAGTGGTCTTTCCCCTCCATCTTAACTAGAAATTTTAAAGTCACCAAATCATCATCGTATCACCTCTGCAATAGCGATTAGACTAAATATTTTTGGATCATTTGCTATGGCCGTGTACTGTGCCGTGTATTGTAAGCACTTGACCTGCAACGAAGACCGTCCAACTGCAGTGAAGGCAGGGTTCACACCCATAGTTCACATCCCTCGTTCATGGTAACGCCTCACGCAGATCGTACCACACCTCACACAGCTTCGAAACAGTTGCCAAGTTGTCACAGCAGTCAGTGTTTCAGCCTGAGAAATTACAAATCCTTGAACCCGAGAGTCATTAGCATGCTGCATTTTAAAAACTCGTGTTCCCCCAGATCTGTTACCACATTGTGCACTTAATACTTTCTGTGTACGTTGAACACGACATAATTTTCTTCAGGCTCAGGAATAAATTTTCTTTATCTCTACCTTAATTATCTCAAAAGCCATTCCACTGACAATGATCTTTTTTTCTTTTTTAACTTTCCTAGTCACTTAAATATGACATGGCTAGAGAATTTAAGTCAAATATAAGAATAGCATTTCTTGGGGCTGGGGATTTATCTCAGCGGCACAGCACCTGCCTGGCAAGCGCAACGTCGTGAGTTCGATTCCCTATACTGGAAAAACAAACAAACAAACAAAAGAATAGCATTTCTTACATTCCTAATAGACAGTTATGGAACCACATTTTTCACTTTCTCCCAATGCCTCCCAATATGATATGTTTAGCAGGGGCTTAATAAAGTATGATTATACACCGTCTCATGGTTTTCTGAAGATTTCCCTTCTGCTTCAAGAAGAACTTAATTCTCTGTAATGATTGTTGAATTTTAAGATTACCTTTCCTTTGGAGAAGTACGTAGCAGCCAAAGACTATGAAGCTGAAGAAAGAACACAAGTTATTTTAATGACTTTAAAAATAGGTGAATCCAGCTCTCTGCCTACTCTCTGCGTTGAATCATCTGAATATTGCTGAAGAAAAAAGTCACTTGTGAGTCATACTGTGAACTTACGTGAGCACCCAGTGCTCTTTGGCACTTTACTACCCCAACAGACTGTTTCCCACACCGTCTGTCTCTCAGAGATATTGTTTCACTCTTCTTGGTCTCCTCAAACCTCCAGTATCTCCCAGCACGATTTCCCAACTCATAACATGGTCTTGTTTTTGACCACTGAGATCCGTACTCTCAGGCATTTATCTCAGTGTAAAAGGAAAAGGCTTTTTTCAAAGCCAGCTCCTCAGAGATGGAGGGGTCTCACTGCCACAGATCAGTCTCACCTTGTACAGGTGTGCACAGGCCTTTTATAGTAAGAAACAAAGAGCACACAAGAAACAGACCTCTGCAGGCTGGCTTGTCGCTGCCAGCCCTTTTCTCTTCCCTAGGTTCTGGAAACAGAGCTGAATCCCAAGCTCCCGGGGCCAGCACCTGCATATTCTATCCATTCATCTGCGCTGAGCTGAGGAGGGGGTGGCAGTTTACACCCCAGGCCTAAGGAAGTTTGCATAAGCTGTTAGTCTCTAATGAAAAAAATTTATGTTAAAATTCCATTTTGTCCTGCTGGTTATCATCTTATACTATACAAAAAGAAGTAGAAGCAACCAGACCAAACCTCCTTCCTCTTCCACCTCCACACTGGCAAACCATCTGCGCAGGTAGCCACACTGTCTGCCTTCCTCCTGTTCCAATGGAAGGAGTGCCCTTACTCAACCAAAAACCAGTTCCTCCAGACCCATGTCTTCTGGAATTCTCAGGTACTTACCTTCTGTAATTAGCCTCCATCTTTCTCCAGAGTTACTCCCTCTTTAAAGTACAATTCCAACAGCAAATAAGCATTTTGCAGTCTACCATGGCTAAAAAAGAAGTCCTTGTTAACTGTCTCTATGCGCCCAATCCTCGTATAACCTTAGTATGCATGCTATGACCTCCCAATAAAACTAGAGAAAGTGGCTGCAATTCTTCACATTCTCCACCCAAGATACTTCACTGGGCTTCTGTGCTTGTCTTCCCACAGAAACTGCCTTTATCCAGCCCTGCAGTGACGTCATGTTGGCCAGTAAAGGGTTCACTGTAACTCCCATGAACTCGGCACTGATGTATCTAATTGCCTATTTGACATCTTTACTTTGAAGTCCAGTAGACAACTTAATCTTTTCTAAAGAGAAAAAAATACAGAATTTCAAAGCAAGATAATAGGAGATTAGCAATGGTTAATATATTGTATAGTGTTATCTTCAAAGTAGTTGCTCAGATTCAAGATATAGGCATGCATAATTGATCAAACAATATAAGCACAAACCATTTTTTTCAATGAATTAAAAGAAGTCAGTAGTATAACTGTCTTATCTATCTTTTGTATATGTATTTTTTCATTCCCCTTCCTTATTTTCTCCTTTCACCCATCCCAGTTGTTCTTTCTTTTTGAGTTTCTTTCCCTTTCCCAATATCTGCTATAGATTTATTTTTTCAGTTTCTTATTTAATTTTTCAGTTTCTTACACTAGGGAGACAATACAGTGTTTACAGAGGAGAGTTTGATTTACTTCACTTCTAAGTATGATCTCTAGTTGCATACCTTTACCTATAAAAGCCATGAATTTATCCTTCTTTATAGCTGAATAGTACTCCATTATATAAAAATACCACATCTTTTTATCCATTCCTCAGTTGATGGGCATTTGGGTTGTTTCCAAGGTCTAGCT